CGGAGGGGGCCCCGAGCCGGGTCCCGAGCACGACCCGTCCCGACCCCCTTCCCGTCCCCAGCGCACACGGGGTGGGGGGACCTGGGGCACCTCCGGGCTGCGAGAAGAGGGGCTGAAGGGGCGGGTTGGGGGGGTCTTTGCCTCCCTGCCCCAATGCTGCGTCCTGGGGTTCCCCCATGGGTTCAGGGGGCTGCTTTGGGGCTCAGAAGAGGGCGATTCAGCCCTGTGTTTTTGGGTTGAAAGCTAGTGGTTCAGTCTGACCTGTAACAGCCCCTAGCCCGCTAATTTCAGACCCCAAATTGCAGGATCTGCCCTCCACTTCTAAGCCCTGTGTTTCTGGCCCTTCCCCACCCTGCTGCTAGGGCAGTTTGGGGGCTCAGAAATGGTGGCCGAGTGCTGCATTCTGGGCACCTGCAAACGTGTTCCTGGGGTTGTGGGGCAGGTTCAGAAACAGAACACACCTTTGACACATGCTGCCTTGTGATCCCCTACAGAAAACAGTATCTCAGTGCCTTCTCTACATGCTCATAAGGACTAGAAAGTCACCGGAGCCTTTCCCATGCAGACCTTTCCAAGTACTGCCAAAAACCTTTTGTGATACCTGCGATCTGTTTCATGAACATTGGTAATACAGTTCGACTTTCCTTGGATGTAGCACGCTTTTTACATGTGCTGCAGACTCCCCAGGGCTGCCCTGGATGTTCTGTACCCCCGAATCCATAAAAGTTGTGTGGTAAAGCAGTTGTCTCCCTCATAAAGACTTGGTTCTGAATCTGCCCTCGAGACAGCCTGCTGCCTGTGCCAGGGCTCTGGAAACAGTCAGGGCTCCCAGCTCTCCTAGGGTAGTTGCTAGCGTGTTTTCTATCCATAAATTTATGAAGCCCTTTTCAGAGCATGAGTTATGAGGAATTACTATGGCCATCAGTTACTGAATTTGACTGTTTTGTCCCTCAGTAGCAACAATGTTTTCTATAGAATGATTTACGATCAAAATCTTGTTCGTCACTGACTCACTAGTTAATACTCTATTTTTTTTCTTATATAATTGTCTGCTTGTCTTTATACGGACAAACATTTCTGTGGGCCAATAAGTATGAAACCTATGTCAGACAGCTTCAAGTGTCTTAACTTACTGAAGTTAACCAGCAGGTTGTATATCAAGGGCCAAAAGGAGGGGGGAACTAGGATTAAAAAAAAATCATTCAAAAAATCATTCAATTCCAGATATTGCTTAACTGTTTAGAGCAAATTAATAATATCAAAGAAAACAACACATTCCTGTGCTGATGCTGTGCATGCCGTTCCATATACCAAAAGTGCAGTTTAATGTCTATTTTACTGGTTGTTTGTCCCACAGCTTGTGCCACGAAGAGAGGAGACCAAGGGTACAGCATGAGTAAGGAGATCCTGAGCACAGAAGCAAAGGCTTCTTTTGCCCTGCCCTCTGTCACTTGGGCTGCCATGTAAGCGCTGCACTTGGTGTTACCTGTTTACTAGCACAGGGGTTACTGTTCAAATACCCTTCCAGTGTCATTACTGCAGTCACAATTCTGGACTAACAGTTTTGGCAGTGCTGGTCTTGGGCAAAGTGCAACTCTTTTGCTCTCACCAGGCAGCTTTAGTCAAGTTTTTGACTCTAATTTCTCTCATTTGTGCTGCATGTAGAAGAGAAAGGGAAGCAGCCTCAGCTTGCATAGAGGAGCACAACCCCTACTGCAATCTGTAGCATTAGTGAAGACTGAAAATACAGGGAGAGCGGGGGCAGGAGTTTAGCTGTACATTTCATCTCAGAACACCTGTGTTATATGAGAATCGAGCGACCAGGGACAAGTAAAAACTGTTGTGGGCACCAGGCTTTAATCAGTGCAGCATCCTAGCCCACTTACAGCTGCTATCATAGGTATAAAACCACTGTTGTTGCCAAATGAAGTATCTGGTGTTCTAAGCCTTGGTGGTGGCAAAGTGTGAGTGGCAAGTAGCAAGTAATGCAATGGCAAGTAGCATGTGAGTGTGATGTGAAATGCATGAGACTCTGAGCCTCCTACAACATATGGTCTTGGTCTGTACTGTCTGAGTTGAGCTGATTTGCAGATCTGTGATGAGTGAGCCTCATCCTTACAGACACTTTGAAAACCTTTGTTTAAAAAATATTATACCGCTTTGTGCGTGTAACCAAGTTGGACAGGAAGCAAATATGCCAATGCTGTTTACGTGACTATAATGTAAAGCTGTCTGATGTTACCATATGTCTTATGTGTTTCAAATGTTAATTAAAAGCATAACAAACAAAACCCTCAGTGGCACGCCGCTCCATCTCCTACCAGAGGAAAGCCTCTGTCCCTAGCTTGGCCTCTATGGCCTTTCTACTGCTTCTGGGGGCAGGTGTTCCCCTTATCGATTTTTAACAGCTTTCCTGGAGTGAGACGACTCCTCTGCTCCCAAGGACAAATATTAATCGTGGCCTTGAGTGTTGCATCCATCTTGTAGCATACACTTCTGGAGGGCAGCTCTTAGCAGTTTTTGTCTGCAAAGCCCATTGCTGCCCTCTGCACTTTAATCTGTGTCTGGGTGCTTCTGTAGCCTGGCTAGATTGAGATATGTGCCTTGGATGACTGTAAGACAAGTGATGAGTAAATACTACTGAAAATGGGGGAATAAAACTTGTTTATTTGAATTTTTTCAGGGCGAGACAGTCCTTGCCTGTATATTCTCGGTGGGGGGGAGACAGCTGTCCTAGAAGCAGAAACCTGTTAATGTTCCCTCCAGGAGAACATAAGGTTTCCTGCTGTTCCCAGAGCAGGTGCTGGGGAGGGGCTGTAGCCTGGGGCTGTCTGCTTGAGGAATGAAATGTCTAAGTTAGCAGCTGAAGTTAATGACAGTTCAGCTTTGCCACAGGCTCTGGAAGTGGCTGGTCTGGAACTGCCTGTAGGAGCCAGAGGGGAAGAAGAAGAGGAGGCCGGATTGCAAGGAGGCTCCTGGCTGCCTCGGAGTTACTGGCTCCCTGTCAAAAGGCACGTGAGGCTCAGCCTGGATCTGATGCTGAAACTGGCTCCTGCTTAACTGGTTGGTGAAGACATGCATTCAGTAGGAGCTGGAATTTCAGCGGACCTCAGATTCAAGCTGGGGCTTGGAGGATCTGGGGGAACTGCTGTCACCCATGTACTGTTTTTTGGCTACCTCTAGGGTTACAAGGAACTCTGGAACTGCAGCTGAGCTGTCAGCTTTGAGCTGCAGTTATGGTAGTTAGGAAGGAAGAGGATGCGGCTGCTCAAACGGGAAATCTTACGCAATGCCCAATTTCTTCAGGACTGTGCAAACCTCGTGGAGATACTGAGCATCTGGATAGCCGTTCCTGTCGGGACAGAGAGGAAAGTGGTGTAAATACTGTAAAACCACTGGCAGGGGGACACAACAGTTCACTTCTGCCCTGTCCTTGTAACAGGGGAGAGAATGGCAATCCTGTTCCCTGTAGCTACAAGTAGCAGCCGGTTGTTGCTGTTTGCACGGCCACGGGGGCATGGGGGCAGCCAGGAAAAGGAGCTGCAACTGAACAGGGCCCAGAATTCCTGCTCCCTGGGAGCCTTAGGAGCATGGCACAGGTAAGGACTTCAGCTGGAGTGCTGATCTGCCACACTGCAGCTGCCCTGCGAGATGAAGCAAAGGGGAGCACCAACTCTGCACGTGGGGGAGCCTGGAAGAGCGCCGGGATTTGTTTAGCTGAGGTGCATGTTATTGCTGAGAAATACCTGAAGGCTTTGATTTGGCTGACCCATACCTGGCCTTGCCTCCGTACAGTGAGGTTTTGTGCGGAATATGGCCCCACGTCACTCTTCCCTCTCCGTCGAAAAGCTTGATCTGGAATGTTAGCCCCTGCTCAAAGGCTTTCTTCAGCAGCATGGCTGTCTTCTGCCCATTCCTGTTGTCAGGTAGGTAGGCATGGAAATTTCCCCCTTTGTAAGGGTGTCCTGGGCAGGGGTCACCAACCTTGTAATGAGAAGAAAATATTTTAAACAACCACCTAAGTGTGGACCCTTAGATCTGTCTTCTGAGACCCTGTTCAGCACGAAAAGATACAGAAATTTGTGGCCCTAGGGGTTGATACTTCCTCAAATGAAAGCTCTTCAAAAGCAGCAAGCTGCTCCCAAGCCTTGTGTAGGAATCATGCCTTCCACAAGGCAATCCCTCCACCCCGTTGAATCTGGTGGAGCTACAGCTGCCCTCCACCCTGGGTCACCCTCCCAGAACCTCCACAGCACCTGCAGCAGGCCAGGAAAGACCCCTGAGCCTGGGTACCTACCACTTGCATGCCATCAGGGATGCTGTAGATAACCTGAAGAGTCGGATCTCGATAGTAGCCAGGCAGGCTCTGCGCCAGGGAGGAGACCCTGAATGTCCCCGAGAGCTTGCGACCTGGGGCAGCAGAGGCAGAGCGGCAGCAAGCTGGCTGGGTGCTGTCTGCTGCAAAACACGTCCTGCACAAGGCATGGCCACAGGGTGCCTGGCATGTCACGCACAAGGCCTGGCAGGCATCACACTGACTCAGTGAGGCCTTGCAGCTTTCCCGTGCAAGGCTGGGACTTTGGGTCTGCAGTGATGAGAGGGCAAGCTCCTTCTCCACTTTGGTCCTGCCAGCTGGGATCAGGGCCCTTTCCTGGCCCCGGGGCTCTGCTGCAGGCGACTCTGCTGTAGCCTGGGGTGGCTCGGGGGTGGCAGTCCCGTATAGCCAGGTGGGCAAAGAGTGAGGAGCACCGTCTGCTGCAGGACTCGGTGACCGCAGATGCCCCATCTCATCCTTGCGGCCTCCTGTGCTCTTGTGTCTTGCAACCTGGAATCTGTCTGGAAAAACCTGCTTTAGCCACGCAATGTCAGGCTCCCCTGTAGACAGCTTTGTCTTCAGCTGTTCTTGGGACTCCTTCAGGCCAGCAGGGCTTTGGTTATCCACTCCAGCAGGGCTGAGGAAGCTGCTTCCTCCCTGAACTGCCTCGGGAGCTGCAGGGTCACTGACCTCCTCCTGTCCCCATGCTTGCTGGAATTGCCAAGGACTGGGAGCTCTCATTTCCTCAGCACCTTGCAGCTGGAAAGCCCTGAGCTCAGCTGAGTCGGTTGCTTTATCATTAATGTCCAGGTGCTGCAGGCACATCTGTAGGGACTCCAGGTTTTCGGAAAGGGCTGCACCCAGCATGGCATCCTGGCTACTGCCTGGTCGGCTGACGCTTGGTGGCTCTGTGCTAAGAGCTCTCACTGGTCCTGGAGACACAGGGGAAGCCTTCAGGGTATTCAGTCTCCTGGAAGAAAACACCTGGAAGGCTTCAGTCACTCCTGACAGCATCTCCTTGGGGCAGGCAAGATACAGCTTGTACTTGTCCTTGCTTAGTCCAACCTTGGTGGAACCTCCTTGCAAGAGGCTGCACAGTTCACTCAGGATATTGTCATCTGGCCCATCGACATCAAGCTCTGAGTAACTCATGCTCTGATATATGAGGTTAGGACACTTTTGCACAAGAGTTTCCACTTTCCATTTGGCCTTGCAAACCTTGTTCCTGTCCTCTGCCTGCAATGTCAGCACAGTGCAGTCCCCAGCAGGATGCTCTGAGATCTGCACACCATCCCTGCACAGTTCATCAACAGCAGAGCAGTAAGCGGCTTTCAGGTAAGACCACTGCAGAGCGTCCAGGCTCATTTCTTCACTCACTCCACTGCCTCCACTGGTGGCCCTGACAGCGTCTCGAGGATTGTTGCTTTCCTTTGACTTGGGCAGAGAGAAGCTGCTGGAGCGTTGCAGTGAGGCCTTAGCTTCAGAGGGTTTAGAGTCCAAAGTGGAAGAGGTCCTTGCATTGCCGAAGAGATCCAGAGACTGAAAGGCATCAGACTTGCTATTGAGACGTTGGTGACTGATGGGACTTGAGCCTTCAGAGTTAGTAGAATGCAGCGAAGTGCTGTTTTCTTTGCCCCCAAAAGGAGATGGGGTCTTAGGTCTTGCAAGAACAGCAGCTCTTTTCACCCGGTCCTGTTCTCTGGGCTCCTTCTGCTGTGACCCTGCTTCTGGCCCCGAGACCACATCTGCTGTGATGACACAAGGCTGCTCCTGCTGCCTCAGCGCTGTTGGGTCACTTGGACTGAGGGTGTCTGTCCCTGTTAAGTGCTTTCCAGAAAGCAGGGCTTGTCCCACTCGTGGAGAGTCCTGATCCAGCAAATGCCCTGCACTGGCTGGAGACCTGTCAACCTTGGGAGCACTGCAGCTGGTAGCCAGCTTGGGCTCTCCTTGCAGCTCCAACTTTCCTGGGCTCAGTCTTGAGAGAGAGGTGAGGCTTGTCCCACTTGTGGAGAGTCCTGATCCAGCAAAAGTCCTGCACTGGCTGGAGACCTGTCAGCCTTGGGAGCACTGCGGCTGGTAGCCAGCTTGGGCTCTCCTTGCAGCTCCAACTTTCCTGGGCTCAGTCTTGAGAGAGAGGTGTCCATGGGGCTTTTGGGCTTGCGCGGTGCAGCCTCTGTGGTGTGAGCAGCTGCCGGGTGCGAGGGCAGGGAGCTCCTGAGCTTGCTGAGTCTGTGTGCAAGCCTTCTTCTGGTGCTGAAAGCCTGAAAATACTGCTTGGCCTGGGAAACATCAACCAGGTTTCCGATAAGATAAAGCTGCCTCTCATCTTCATGGCAGAGCAGGTGGGGATACCGTTTTTGCAGCTCATGTGACAGAGCCTTCTGTGTCTGCTTGTCCAAATCCAGGCCTCTTTTGTCGATCTTCTCCTTGCGCAAGCTCACTTCCAACTGCTGGTAGAGCTCCTGCAGGGCCAGACGGGCCTGTCCCAGGGCATCCCTGTCCCCAGACGCACCTGCAGACACTTGGAGGTACAGTATGACAATGCCATCACTGCTAATGTCCACCACATCCACATGATGCTGGCGCAGCACACGATGGTACTCATGAGCACAGAACCTCTGCATGTACAAGTAAATATCTGAGTCCATCACTAGGGAAAAGTCCTCCAGCCCCTCCATGGCTTCCCCATCCACTGGACCCCGATATGGTGGGGCCTCAGCTGCCTCTTCACACACCTGGTCCCCATGTGGCAGTTTCGTTGTCTTTGGTGCTGATTCAACAGAGACAGGCACTTGCTGGTGATCATGGGTCCTGGTGCCTTGGGCCACATGGCTGCATTCTGACTGGAGAATCTCTCCAGGCACTTGGCTCTTGATGTTCAGCCTGCACAGCAGATCTCTGCTGAAGGCCTGCAGCTCAGTGAATGGTCCCTTGACTATGCAGTGTCCGTCCTGGGAGTCAAAGTTGATCTGCACATTGCTGTAGCCTTTATGCAAGTTCCTCAGAAGGGTTTTGCCATCAGGAAACTTCCCACAGTCAACTACCATGTGAACATGTATGAAGATCTGCAGAAAGAGGGCAAGGGGGTGAGAAAGCAAGGACCAACAACGCCCCTCCAAGGAGCAGGAGGGGTAAACGCACCTGGCACTTGCCACAGTCCAAGCATTATTACGATAGAGGAGACAACACGACTGTCCACCTCCATCTCCTAGCATCCAGCTTTTCAGATTAGGTGGAAGCACAACACAGGCAGGATGGAAAGCTCCAGGCAGCTGAAGCAGCTTTTGGACCTTCTACCCAGACCTCACAGAGATGCAGCCCACTGGCACATGCTCCAAGCTGTGCAAACAGCCCCAAACCAAGAAATCCCCTACTCTGGCTCAAACACAACCCCTCCTGCATCTGACATCCTTCTTGCTCTCCACATCCTTCAAGCAACCAGGCCCCACAGACCTGGGAAAGGTCTCAAAGGCCGGGCTGGCTGACGGCCGCACTTGAGCGCTCAGCATGCAGACCTGTGGGCACGAGACACGGCTCCTGCCCACCCAGAGTGGAGGAAGACACGAGAACTCGCAGTGCCTCCCAGGCGTCAGCGAATCTCCTAACATCACCCATGACGGAGGGAGAGGACACAGAGGCATTGCCTGTCCGGCTAGTGACATGGCCGAGGCGTTAGCCCGATCCCCCAGGGGCCACCAGACGTCCAGGGAGAGGCTCTCCCCGCTGGCCTGGTTTCTCTGACAGGCGCAAAGCGCAGAGAGCCAAGGGCAGCGCCTGCTGCGCATCCCCGCGTTGTTGGCACGAAGCAAAGAAGAGAAGAGACATCGCGCTGGCTTGGCATGGCTACCTGGTCGGGGCTGAGCTCGGGGTCGTGCGCGGTCACCTCCAGCGGGTAGCGCTGCCCTCCAACGCAGAGCACGTGCTGTGGGGCCGCCAGCACCCGTCGGGCCACTGTGCGTCACAACACATTTCTAAGTTAAAGGTACCCTAGTAGAAATTTTCTCCATATGCCTTTCCAACCCCTATTAAATAAAAACCATCCAACCAAGTTGTTGGTACTGTTGTTGGTGCAACAGGCTTCCCAGGAATTCTTTGTAAATAGAACATCTGAGTATTCCAGTGTTTGCAGGGAGGAAATGTGCTGAGTTCAGAATGCTGTAATCAAATCCACATTGCCAAGTCACAAATAAAGAATCAAAGAACAATCACCATCCATTTCTTGTGTTGCAGACACATTAATCAGACCACATTTTCTTCCCTGCTTTGGATCCGTTTTTGGTGTGACAGGCACGCTTGGTGGCCCAGTGGGTCTGGAATCTCATCACCCTACTTCACTGCCACCAAAGCTGGGATAATCACGCTCGCTAAGCATTTTGTGGCAGTGTGATTCTATGCAGAAGGGTTAAAGAGACACAGTTCTGTACAGGGCAATGGGGAGGCTGATATTTTGGGAGGAAGACCTGGAGCATCTACATAAGCACCTAAAAATGTCCCCTGTGTGTACCCACATCCTCTCCCCACTGTCCTGTCCTCCCATCCTGTCCTGAGGTCCCATCTCAACCCCACGTCTCATCCAAACTCTACATCCCATCCCTGTCCCACAGCCCCGGCCTGCTCCCATATCCCACCTGCACTCCACAGCCCAGCCCAGCCCAGCCGGCCCGTCCCACAGAGCAACAACACAGAGCTGCCCAGAAGAGCTTTATTCCCACATGGAGCTGGAGGGCCATGACCCACCCAGCAGCGCAGGCGAGGGCTACTCCACGTCCTCCTCGAAGATGGCCACAGCCCACTGCCCCTCGGGGACGTAGCCAAGGGCATCCACCTCGCCCCCACCACGGCTGCTCCTCTGGAAGTGGATCTCCAGGGTGTCCCGCATGAGCTCCGTGTCCAGCACGTCCGGGATTCCCCGCAGCAGCACGGTCCGGGCGCAGCGGGATGGCCGGAGCTGTGGGGCAGGGGAGTCGCATGATGCCTCGCAATATGCATGGCATTGCGCAGGGAACCATCCTTTTCTGGGGCAATTTCAGGGAGGTTTGGCAACGAGCCGGGATGGGCAGGATCACGGGAGCCCCTGTGGGCTTGCTGCCGTGCCCAGGGCTCACATCCTCACCTTCAGGCTGGTGACATCTCCACTCACATAGGGTGATATTTTGATCTCGCACTCGGTTTTCTTGATGGGGAACTGTATGAGGCCCCTGGCTACCAGTTTCTCAGCCACTGCAGGAGGCAAGGAGAGCCCTGAGCCCCTGGCACTGCCCGTGCCAGCCGCAGCCCCAGCTCCCCACGCACCTCCATCCTGAGCAAAGCTCAGCACCACCTGGTCACTGCACAGGAACTCCAAGCTCTCCACCTCACCACCCCCGTTCTTGGCCTTGCTGAAGAAGAGCTCCAGCTTGTCCAGCAGCGTGTCCTCAGGGATGCCCAGGCTGGACAGGCCGGACAGGCCGGACAGCAGGACCTGCTGGCAGCTCCGGCTCAGGCTGAGCTGTGGGGCACAGGGTGGTGGGCACGCGGCAGCAGTGCCGGTGTGGCCCCGGGGCCGGGCTGCGAGGGCCCTACCTCCAAGGCAGATGGCAGCAGCAACTCCACAGGCTCTGCCCGCACGTGCATGCGGCACCGGTCTGGCTCCTCACTGTGGCTCAGCTCCACCACATGTTCCTTCATTGCCACAATCCTCTGGGCCACTGCAAGCCGGAGAAGCCGGCAGTGCCAGGCTCCGTGAGCAGTGGGTCAGGATGCGGGGCTGTGCCGTGCGCCCAGGGGCCGCCTGCACCCCTAGGAGATGCAGGGCAGCTCCTCGGCTCCTACCTTCCGACTGCTCAAAGGTGATAAGGGCTGAGCCCCCCAGCAGTGGGTAGTGAACCCGTGGTGTGAGCGTCAGCATGCCCGTGTCCGCCACGTCTGTCACCTGGCCCCTGAACACCATGGATCTCTCCGGCAGGGCGGGCTGCAGTTAGGACAGGGGCAGAGGTGACCTGCTCTGCACAGGCCTGTCCCTGCCGGGCAGGGAGCCAGCGCGGGGCTCAGGAGAGGCAGCTGGGGGCCCCCAGCAGGGGCTCTCCAGGGCCTTGTCCGTGCCCCAAAGCCGCTGGCACTTTGGTCCCACCAACTCGTAGAAGCCGGGCTGGTCATCCCCACACCTGCCATGGTCAGCAGCTCAGCTGACCCCCCAGGAGAGCAGACACAAACCAGGTTGTCCCCCCACGCCCAAGATACCACTGCCAGATCCTCTGCGGGGCCCCTCTGCTGCATTTCTTGCAGTTTCTTTTTCAAAAGCTCCTTCTCCTGTATCAGCCTGCTCCTCTCCTCCTTCGCTGAATAAATGCTTTCCTGGAAGGCACAACCAGCAGGCACCAAGGGACCTGTCAGCAGGACTTTGACACATCCCCCATGCACGCACTGTCCTGCTGTGACGGCTGCCAGCCCCTCGCTCCCGAGCACTCCACCCACCCGTGCAACGCGGGACCGTTGCACACTCAGCATCAGCATCTTGGGGAGGTGTGCGAGACCTCCATGTGCCCAGAGCAAAGCTGCCTTCAAGCAGAGGCAAGTGCCAAGCCAGGCCATTCCCAGCCACGTTCCCAACCCTGGACAACTCCTCCAACTACTGACCTGGTGGGAGGCCGCATGCTCCCTGTTCAGACATATTTGTCTCTCGGGATGCATGCGCAGTCGTTCTCTCTCTTTCCACAGCTCCAGTGCCTTCTGCTCTGTGTCTTCCTTGGCTGCTTGCAGCTCCGCGCAGTCGTGCTCCAGGGCAACACAAAGCTCCTGAGCAAGATGGTCAGAGACAAGCGGTCGCGTCCTGCCCATCGCACAGTGCTCCGGCCATGGAGCCAGGCATCAGGATGATGGGGCCATGGGGTTGGGGACAAAGTGGGGCTGGAGCGGGTGGGGGGGGT